TAGATAGATGGATAGATGGATGGATGCGTGGATGGGTGGACGGGTGGACGGATAGATAGATGGATGGATGGATGCATAGATGGATAGATGGATGATGGGTAGATGGGTGGATGGGTGGATGGATGGATGGGTGGGCAGATGGGTGGAAGGGAGAAAGTAAGCACCAGTTCTGACGCCCACAGAGTAGCTCAGACAAGGGGAGCCTGTGAGCCGAAGCAGGTGCAGGTGGGAGGTGGGGCTGGCTACCCCAGTGGGTCTGGAGGAGCATTGGGGGGCAGCGGGGCAGGGAGGGTGCCATGAGGTGAGAACAGAGTGGAAGATCTGAGAGAGGCTGAGGTTGAGTTACTCTAAGATCTCAGGACCTCGGGCGGCTGGCAGTGACCAAGGCCACGCCATGCTGAAGGACAGGCTGGCCCCCGCTGGAGGCCGCAGGCCTGAGCCCTGCAGTGTCCCCGGCCCCAGGCAGCCCCCGAGGGCGCCCTCTACCTTTCACATGCTTGTCCTGGAACTCTGTGAGGAAGCGTGCGATGCGGTCCGAGGGGATGGCGAAGGAGATGCCGGCTGCGACCTTGAGCGTGTTGATGCCGATGACCTCGCCGTCCTGGTGGAGAGACCAGAGCAGCCATCGCTGCAGAAGCCCAAGCGGCCACTGCCCCCGGCTGCAGAGCACTGTGTCCAGGGCCCCAGCACCTGTCTGGCTGTCACGCCCCCCGCCCGAGGCGCTCTGGGCCGCAGAAGCCTCCCCAAAGGGCCCTCCCAGGTTCACATCCAGGGCCCCCCCTCGCCCACCGCTTTCCTCCACCTGACTCCGCCTCCCTCGCTGGAGCGAGCCAGCCGGCAGCCCCTCAGAGCCGTGCCCACGGACCCAGGGCACCCCCAGGCAGCGCTCACCCCCAGAGGGACGTGAGAGGAACCGTGGGGATTAGGCCTCCCTCTGTCCCTCCTTTCCGGAAGCAGGGCTGGGGTGAGTGGGGCTGGGGCAGCTCACAGTGTCCCTCACTCCATCATCCCTGCCCCGCTCAGCCCTCCCGCCCGACCGGGCTGGAGCAGTGGGCTGGATCCGCCCCCAGCCATCGGCCGTGGGGACCACACATCCCTGTGGGGGCTCCTCCCCACAGCCTGGCACACAGCCCCAGGACCAGCATCCTGCCCATTGCAGGGGTGACATCCTAGCAAAGTCACCAGGGTCCCCCGTTGGGGACAGAGCCTTGGATCGAGGCACACTTCATTTGCCTGGTCCCGCCTGGTCATCTGGGGCTCTCAAGGCGGGAGGACCCGGGGGTCGCCAAGAATCTCTCACCAGCCCTGTCTGCCCCGTAGACATGTGGGCAGAGCCCCAGAAAACCAGAGACCCCACTCTGGAGGACACTTACCAGGTTCACCAGCGGTCCCCCGGAGTTCCCGTACTGCGGGGGTGGAAACGTGATGTTAGCTGTGCCCTGAACGTGCCCGAACCTCTTTCTTCCAACTACCACGAGCGGCACAGAGGTGCGCGGCCGAGTCTCACGCCCCAGCGGCCCTGAAAGGCCTCGTCACCACCCCATGTCACAGATGAGGATGCTGAGGCCCACAGAGGCCAAGCCGACAGTGCGAGGTGACCGGGCCTGACCCCCAGGCTCGCTCAGACTCGCTGCAGTGTCTCTGCCACTTGGGCAGCAGGGGCGGGCCGCTCTGTCCCAGCCCGCGGCCTCGAGGGGTCTGGACAAACACTGACGTTTCCGGCAGAGCCCCGAACTGCGGGAAACCCGGGGAGGCGGGCGCGAGGGCGCCTGGGCAAAGCGCTTTGTGGCAAAGGCGCCATCCAGAATAACTTAGGAAGCACTGACTGGGGGGAGGTCTGCGCTGACGCCCCAGGGGGAGGCTCGGCCGCCACGTGCTGCGGGGCTGTCCCCACCCAGTCAGCAGCCTCCAACTCCCAGGGCAGGCCTGAGGCCATGGCAGTGGGGGCTCCGCTTCATGGAAAAAGCTTTCTGGCAAATGGACGTGTCGAGCGCTGGGGCGGGCTCTGGGGACCGGGGCCGAGCCCCGGAAGCGACCGCCGAGCACTCACGTTGATGATGGCGTCCGTCTGGATGTAGTCCATGTCCGAGTCGCGCAGGCCCAGCTCCCTGCCGTCCCGCTGGGCCGTGCTGACGATGCCCGTGGTCACCGTGTTCTGCAGGGCAAAGGGGCTGCCGATGGCCACCACGAACTCGCCCGGCCGCAGGTCAGCCGAGTGGCCCAACAGCAGTGCTGGGAGCTTCTTCTAGGGGCGGGGGAGGACACGGGACGGAGGGTCAGCTGTCTGCCTCGGTGGGGCCAGAGCCAGGTCACGCCCAGGTCCCTGGAGGGGTGGTCCCAGAAGCAGCTGGACAGAGCCCTCAGGGCGAAGGCCCAGGCAAGTCACCAGCGCTGACCGAGGCCAGGCCGGCCTCCAGCTGACCCCCGGTGGGCACGAGAGACCTAGGCTGGCGTCCACGAGGCACAGGCTCAGCGCCACCAGTGAGCACAGGTCTCCTAGGGTGGGCCGCAGGGGTCCGTCACAGTGAGGACGCACAGAGGGTCCAGCTGGGCCATCGAGCCTGTCGGTTTGACGGTATTAGTTCCCTCTGAAAATCCCATAGAAGCCATGGCCACCGCCACCCCGGGAGCAGCACAGCCCCCGAGGCTCACGGTCAGAGGCCTGCGGCAGCCCTGACCCAGCTCAGCTCCATCTCCTAAATCGACAGGCGGGAAACGGAGGCCCAGAGGCAAAGCGACTTCACCGAGCTCCGCCACCACCCCGCGCGCGGAGGCAGCTCACTCCTCTCTCCTTGATGAGGAGGCAGAGGAGCCTGTCCGCCCGTCCGTCCGCCCGTCTGTCCGTCCGTCCACCCGTCTGCCTGTCCAACTCTGCAGCGAGGCTGGGCGCCCCGCGAGCCCGTCAGAGGGTGCACGCGCCCGGGCATAGGCCGGGGCTCTGTCACCTGCGCTCACCTTGATGGGCACCACCGTCGGGGCGTGGTGCCCCTTACGTCAGACGTCACCCCTGTGGGGGGACCTGCCGGCACCACTTCCGCAGCTTCCTGCGAGTCCAGAATGATTCCCAGATAGAAAGCTTCGTGCAACGGCGCTGGAGACGGCCAAGCCCCGGCCCCAGGGCCTCGCTCTAGCTCGGGCCCCCGAGCTGCGAGGCCACCGGCCACTGCTCTTCCTTCCATTCAGGAGCTTCCCCCCCTTTCTACTGTCTGCCACCATGGCGCGTAAGGACTTATTTTCTTTAAGGAGGCTTTTTTCCTAGCACCTGGGGGACTGAAGTGGAGGGACAGGCCATATGTCCCACGTACTTCTCACAGGCCTATATCACCCCCGCGGGACAGCTGCGACCCTGGAGTGGGCCGGGAGGGACGATGGAAGTTCCCCTGGGCTTCGGGGGACCTCCGTGTGGCAGCGACTGTGAGCCGCACCGTCTATGGCCCGCGGGCGGCAGTTCTGCTCTGCCCTGCGCCTGGCGGGGGGAACGCGATGGGTGGGTGTCAGAGACCCTGGTTTCTGTCTGCCACGACCTGTGACGGGACAAACGGCCAGTTCTCCGGGCCTCGGTCCCTCTACCTGTCCCTGAGAAGGTCGGGTCGGGGCGTCTCCGAGCTCTGAGTCTGGAAAGGTGCCTCTGCCCCATCGCCCACACCCCCACTCACTTTGGGGTGTATCTTGACGGTGGCGATGTCCGACTTCTTATCGATGTCTTTGATGGTGGCCTCGTAGGTGTCCCCATTCTGTAGCTGCACCTTGAGCTGATGCCGGCCCGAGACAGTGTTGGTGCTGGACACCACGTGGGCGTTGGTGACAATAAGGCCGGCCTCTGACATGACAAAGCCCGAGCCGCTGGAGAGGGGCACGTTTCGGCCGAACAGCGGGTGTCTGCGGGGAGTGGGCACAGGGGCGTTCAGGGGGTCAGGGACCGAGACACCAGGCCATGCCTGGCCTCAGCGTCTGGCACTGTAACGGGAAGGCTGAGCCCCTGTTGGGGGAAAGAACAAGAATGTGGGGTCCCCCATACCCAAGTTCAAATCCTGGTTCAGCCACTTACTGGCCATGGCGTTGGCCAGGTCACTAAGTCTGACCCATTTCACAGCCATAAAAAGGGGACAATAATCTCTGACTTGCAATTTGCCGGATGAGACATGAGGCCATCACGTTAGGCCTGTGGTGACACAGCAGCCACTGGACCAGCACTGGAGCCAGACAGCCCAGGATCCGAATCTCAAGCCCGGAATCCACTCATTATCTGCTGACTAAGAGCGGGTGGTTTAACCTCTCTGAGACCCAGTCCCCCCAGGAAATGGGACAACGCCACCTACTCCGCTGAGCCGATGCCTGGTGCCTAAAGCACCTGGAGGCAGGTAATCACTCGACGGACAGGGCTGCGGTGGGCAGATGGGCACGTGCACTAATGTGCATATGGCATTCGCCGGGACCGTCACAAGCAGATCCTCAGGGAATGTTAGTTTCCCAAATGTCTGACTCTGCAGAGAGGCTGAGCAGGGGCCCAGCCCCCACCCACCCGCAGCCCCGCCCTCCAGCCAGCTGCTGGAAGCCCCAAATGGTGTGAGGAGGTGTGCTGGCGGCAGGCTCTGCTCAGCGACTTCCACACCAGGCACTATGCTTCTGAGGACACAGGGGACAAGGAGCACCAGACGTGGCAGGACGGGGCTCAGAGACACCACGCGATGCCCGGCCTCAGCGTCTGCCTCTGTAACAGGAGGCCGAACGGCCACGCAGCTGGCACGGGCCCAAGGTCGGCATTCACTGACAGTGTTCGTGCCCGGCCCTCGCCGGAGCCCGGCGAGCAGGAATCACGGCCCGCTGCAGGGTGGGTGGGTGGCCTCTGCGACCCCAGTGGGGGCCTGGCGGGAGCAGGTACCTGGTACCCGAGGGTGTTCTGCAGAGACAAGCAGCAAAGACAGGCTTCAGGGCAGGGAGGGAGGGGCGTCCTCAGGGACGTGAGTGTCTGGGCTGGACAGGACCAGTGACGACGGCTAACGTCACCGAGCGCTCCCCCTGAGCCCGAGACAAAGCCATTTAATGTTCATGGTAGGTACCCTACAAGGGAGGCAGGTCTCCAGTTCACAGGTGGGGAAACTGAGTCCCAGAGACACGAAACACTTCCCTGGATCGGGCAAAGGGCAGGGTAGGGGTGACCACAGCATGTGTCCACCCAGCTCCATGTGCACCCTGGTAAGGGGCCACACCTGAGTGCCTCTGGGAGTGCCTGCCCCCGGAGCCTGCCCGGCCGGACATACGTGGTGCTTGGACGGGGCCCGAGGCGGCCCGGAGTCACAGCAGAGGCTCGCCTGCTCTATGACCCTCTGTCTCGTCTGTGTCTGGGGCCCATCCACCTGGGCCTCGCCTGCCCGCCCCCGCGGACATCAGCCTCCGAGGCTGACGTGGAAACCCATCGCCACCCGCCTGGGCTGGGCTGGGCTGTAGTCAGCAATTAGCTGGCTCAGGGCCCGGTGCCCGGGGCCTCCTGGAGAGACGCTGCCCTGTCCAAGCCACCTGTAAGATCACGGACTTAGCACAAGTGCCACTTAGCATGTCCAGCGGTAATTTCCTCAATGACGTGTCTCGGAGTCTGGGGCCCACGGGAAGTGAGGGGTCAGCGTGTTGCAGAGGACTCGGACCTGAGGACCGCGACCTGAGGTCCCAGCCCGCCTCGGCCCTGGGCAGCTCTGTGAGCCTGGGGCATCCAGGCCTCTGCTTCCTCCCCAGGAAATGGGAACCAGGCGGCCTACCCTCTGGGGTCACGGGAAGATGCCGAAGGCAAGGCAGCAGCAGCGCCCTGGGGTGCAGGGAGCACCCGCGCTGTCAGCCAGCCCTGAGGGGTGGCCCGGGCCTGGCTCTCGGGGGTGAGTCCCATGGGCGCCGGCTCGCTCATCTAAGAGGTGAACGTCCACCAGTGTCCTCCCCAGGAAATGGGAACCAGGCGGCCTACCCTCTGGGGTCACGGGAAGATGCCGAAGGCAAGGCAGCAGCAGCGCCCTGGGGTGCAAGGAGCACCCGCGCTGTCAGCCAGCCCTGAGGGGTGGCCCGGGCCTGGCTCTCGGGGGTGAGTCCCATGGGCGCCGGCTCGCTCATCTAAGAGGTGAACGTCCATCAGCACTCTCTGAGAAGTGCAGGCAAAGCAGCCACCAAGGCACAGGGCACACAGGAGGTGTCACACACTGTCACTATTCCGATGGGCTGGAATCATGACATTTGTCCCTGAGATGAGGGGCAGCGACGCTCAGTGACAAGGGCTCCTGCTGGACAAGCCTGGCGCCCAGCGAGCGGGGGCCCTGTGCTGGGGCTGGGGACCGCGGTTATTTATCTGGGCCGTGCCACACGGCCCCCCTGGAATGTAAGCACGGAGTCGCGTGAATGAATGAAGGACCACGGTGACCACCCACTGCACGCCCGCTCAGCACCGACGGCCCGTGCGGTGCGAGGCTGCTCCCCACGTCCCTGGGTGGGAGATCAGAGCGAGACCGGCGATGTCCTCCCCACGGGCACGCAGCAGCCGGGCGCCCGAGGGAGGGCCGCTGCACCACGCCCACTCGAGTGTCCACTGCCCCCGGCAATAGAACCGGGTCCAGTTCGGGCCCCAGCAGGCAGAGGGACGCCTGGGAGGGGCGGGGAGGGGCCGCACGCACCTCAGGAAGAGCTCTATGTGGACCACGGCCGGCGCGATCTTCTCCACCACGTCGGCGATGAAGTTGAACTTGTACCGCGGGCTGGTCAGCTGGTGGAGGCCTGCAGTGGCGGGAGGGAGCCGGTGCTTGAGCAAGACCCAGAAGCGCCCAGGGCGGGGAGAAGGCAGCTCCGCCCCGGCCCCCTCCAGGGGCTCTGAGCAGCACGGGGACACGCAGACGTTGGGGAACGGGCGCGCACGCCCCAAAGAATGGTTAACGCTGAGCTTCCTCACGTCCCCTCGCTGGACCCTGCCAGGCCAGCCAGGAGGTTCAGAGAGGTTGGGACACTCCGGGCTGCACAGCCGTGGTGGCCGCTCAGGCTGGACGTGGGCTGGTCCCCCGGGTGGTCCTCCTCCTGCACAGACAGCAGTGCCCAGAAAACCGTCACCGCCCCTCGCCAGCTCTGGCCCATCCCTCCAGGCCTTGGGCTGGTGCAGTGACCGGACCAGGGCAGAGAGCCCCTGGACCATCGCCCTCGAGCTGCCCCCCGTGGCCACAGTGTGGCCCATCCTGGGCTGGGTCCCCATCTGCGTCTAGCTTGGCCTCACCCCGGCCTGGCTCTCCAGGAGGTTCACAAACTTCTCCAGAACTTTCCCCAGCTCAGATTTCTGCTGCCGTCAGCAGCGGGGCCGCCGCCTGCTGGGACCACAGGCTGGAGGCATGTTGGTGGCGTGAGGCCCACACCCTTGGTCCCCCTGCTCAGGCGTGTGCCAAGGTTCCCAGGTCCCTGCCAGAGACCAGTGCTATCTGAAACCACGCTGCCCAGCACTGCTCGTCAGTGGCCCCGGAGCCCGGGCCAGACACTGGGCTTCGGGTCCCACACGCCCGGGCTTGGCTGGTCACCGCCACTTTCCAGCCATGTGGCTTCAGGCAAACCACTTGCCGTCCCTGATTCCTCTTCTGAAAATGAGACCGAAGACCCCCACTCCCCCAGCCCGCGGGCGTGAGGGCGACTTGCGGATATGTGGCCTCCCGCCCCCCTGCCTGATGCTGGCGCACACGGTGATCCTGGCCCGGGAAACCCACTTGTGCAGCTGCTTCCTCTTGGTGACCTCGGGAAGTGGCTGTGCATAGGGACCTGGCGAGTCCTAAGGGAGGTGGGTAACCTGTCTAGCGCAGCCACCGAGCCAGGCGCAGCTGTCCCCATAACCAGTGTGGCAAACGCAACCCCTAACCACATCCCGACTGATGCCCCGACCGTCCTGGGCAGCAGCCAGGCCAGGGGCCAGTGCCTCCACCTTCCAGATGGGAAGATGGGCCTCGGTGAGAGGAATGTTTGTGCCCGAAGACACCCGTCCGGTTAGAGGACGAAGCGGCTCCCTTCCCTAGGGCCCTCACCCCGACCCCGACTGTCCATTCGGCCTGAGAGAGGACTCGGGGCCCAGTGGGTGCTGGCTCGGGCTCTGCGGCCGGGTGGTGAGGAGGGCCCTGTGCCCCGCCCCGAACCTTCGATGTCTGCCTCTCGAGCTGCCCGCGGGTGCTGGCTGAGGGCCTCGCCTACTTTGGTCAACTTGAATCAAAGACCTCCTGTCCACGGGTGGCCAGAGGCCGGCTGGGAGACGCAGTCCACTGCCGGCCACTGCCCAGCTCCTCGAGGATCAGACGGTGGGTGACCCGGGGCCCTCCCCCGAGAGGCAGAGCCCCCTGGTGGGGCTGGTCCAGGTCGGGAGGTCGTGTTAGCGGGCAGCACAGCGCAGGGCTCCGTGCTCCCGGCACACACAGCGCTCAGCACGCTCACTCTGAGCGGGATCGCCGGTCCTCCTGGGAACTGGGGTGAGCTGTCCATCTGTCAGATGCCCAGCTCTGTCCCCGCCCCCCCACCCCCCCGAGGCCCTGGAAGCTTATATTCATGATCCAGCCTGCTGGCAGGGGGACAGGGACAAACCATAGAACACCCAGGTTCTGTCTCCGGCCAGACGCTCCCACCAAGCAATCCCCACAGCGCGGGCCCTGGAGGACCCCAAACGCAGGCTGGGAGGGGGGCGGCAGGGTCTGCAGCTCTCCCGTGTACAGTGAGGCCAGATGGACCCTGGCCGAGGCTCCTGCCCACGGTGCTGTGCTGGGGTGGGCAGTGTGGGGTGAGTGAGGACAGGTGTCACCCCTCCCTGGTGCCGCTGACCCTGAGTCTCTGCTCTGTCACCCACCATCCTGCCTCCGTCTGCATGGACCGCTCCCCACTTCTCCATACGAAGACGCTCCAGCTTCTCCCGGGCGCAGCCTAAATCCCATCTCCTCCAGGCAGCCCTCCAGGCTTCTCGCAGTCAGACTGAGTCCGTGCTCGGGGCTCCCAGCACAATGCCTCGCCCGCTGCACTCGCGTGTGCCGAGTGCCTTCCGGGCGTGCGCCCCGTGCTGGCCCTGGCCCTGACCCGTGACCGGCGACAGGACAGAGGACTGCCCAGGCCTGCGGCAGCAGCACTGAGCAGGGGCCAGCGCAGGCGCAGACGGCACCGCACTCGAGGGCAGCTGCGGATGGGTGTGATGACGTGAGCCCAGCACGAACGAAACGGGGGGGCGAAACGCCCCAGCAGGCAAGGCCGTGTCCCCCCACGGCCTGCTCCCGGCACTCAGGGACTGCAGCCCTCGGGGCGGGAGCTCCTCTGCTCGGCCCGGGCCGCTGACCCCGGCCCAGGCCGCTGACCCCGGCCCAGTGCTCAAAGACCTGGCTGGCACCGCGGCCTCTGCCCGGACGTTTTCCCTCCCCTGCGGCGTCTCCAGAGGTCACTTAAAATAGGCAA